TTCTTTCCTTGCCCTAAGTCTAGGTTCTCAAACACTGAAATTAATATGATTATGTTGTGTTTTCAGACACCACATGAAATTCTCAGTCCTAGTCTCAGTGCTCCTGTTGTTTCTGTTAACAAGTGATTTCAAATAAACTCCTACTTGTTGAGCAATATTGAGCAGTTAATTATTTTCAGCTATAAAAAACATGTGACAGAAGGATTAGGAAGAAAAGCTTTTGGTACTTGTTAAGTGGCTTATTATACAACTGACTTTTGGGCATTGTTTAGGGGACTATTCATTCTGAACTGGTTTTCTTCATGGCTTTTTAGTTGTGATCAGGGTCTGTGTGGTAAAGCACATGCTCTAGCCCTGCTGGTACTGCTCTCATGCACCCTGCTGCTGCATCTCGTAGGGACTAGCACCTCCTGTGCCCCTGTGCTCTGCTAAGGCTGGAGCAGGGAGAGGAGGGCATCGAGGGCCAGCGTGGCTTCTGGTCCTCCCCCAGCTGTCCCCGTGCAAGTGGGGCTGGACGAGCAGCTTCCTCTTTCCTCACGGGCAGCAGGACCCTCAAGGGCAATCAGAAGCTGCTTTCCATCCCCGGGACTTCCAGCTGCCCCTTGCTCCCTTCTCCACCCCAGCCATCCCAGCCCACGGGAGCAGAGCACGGTGGCAGCAGGGCAGTGCTCACTGCTGTTGCTTTACAAATTGTCCCAGTTTGGGGGTCATTTTCCAGTACCAATCTTTGGCTCTAGATAAGCTGCACAAATTGGACTTGCTGGACCAGAAGGCTGCTCCCGCAGACTGTGGAGCTAACACCGAAATGATCCTAAATCAGATTATTTGCCCCACACCATTGATGTGCTCTTTGGGTCTTTTGACAGGTTTTAAGGCAATCTTTCCTTTGAAGTCTGCAGTGATGCTGTCTGTTCATCTTCTTTCTGTCCTGTCTAATGTACTCATCACTTTTCAGTGGTGCCAATTTTCACCATTTCATTGCTCTGGGCTGTTTCAGGAGAGCAGGGGCCCACAGGAGCACGCTGCCCCCATTTCAAACCAATATGTTTTGTTTGCTGAGTGCTGCATGGTTTTCAGTGTGGCTCCTCATTACTGCAACTCTGCCTGTTGTCCAGCTTTGAATCATTAGCTTGTGAGCACCAAGGTACCAAACACACTGGAATTCCAGATCTGCAGTTCTGGACACACACAGGTTCCTTCTTTACCTACCAGCACTGTCTCCTATCTGTAAGTGTGGAATAGGGGACAAAGAGACAAAGCATTTTCTGGTGATTTGTCTTCCTTAAGTGCTTTAAAAGGCCTTTCACAATAGTCCCTGGGCATCAAATTCCAGGTGCTGTGGCCAGAGTATTCCAAGTAAACCTGTTTTCCTTATAATGCATAAAATGTAAGCAGTAATGAAACAATCCCAGAGGCATGTCTTGCTGCCCATGTGCCAAAACTGTGCATGTCCTTATGCCAGCAGCTTATTTTAGATGTGCAGATTCAGATTCCAGTAGAATGCTCCTCTCTGCAACATGTTCCCAGTCGTCTTCATAAAACATATTGCAAAATATCCAGGCATGATACTGATCCTTTTTAGCCCATGTGGTAGAGAAGAGGGCAGAGCTCCTCATCTAATATTGCCTTTCACAGGTATTTTGAGACTACACAACCAAGAGCAAGGCTCCATGGAACTGGGGAGTGTAGAAATACTTGGAGAGGGCAGTGAGGGGCAGATACAAAGAGTAAAACACATGGGCAAAGAGAAAAGTGCTGGTATGATCACTATAATTCCTTCACTGAGGATCAGAGAGAGGATGGGAGACAGAAGTGAACTGATGAAGACAAAGCAATACAGAAGGTTCAGGATAAGAAGCTGGGCTGAAGGTTGAAGTCCTCCAGTGTCCAGAGGTCCTTATCCCGGCCACCTCTGTGGCAGCTCCTGGGAGACATCAGTTTTGTACCTTCCCCAGGACCCAGATGGAGGGAGACCCACTGCAGCTGGCAATATGAATATGAATACAAATATCCACGTTCCCGTCATGTTCTGGGTGTCAGACCCTGTCCTGCAGTGCACATGTCCAAAAACATTAATTCCAACTCCCATGACAATGGCCTGAAATCAGGTGCCTTTCAACTGATGAAACAAAGACAAACAGTGGTTACATTTTAATTGGCCTAACTGGTTACATTTTAATTTAAACTTTTAACAAGTTGGTTAATTGTTACAAAATTTTAAAAACTTCAAAACATCTTCAAAAACTGAAAAAAGTCACTTGTTTAGGTCATTTCTCTTAATCTGTGTTAGGCACCAATAGCTCTTAAAAAGAAAGGCGATTCTCTGACATTCATGCCTCATATTACTGCTTCCTAGTCCCTTACACTAACTGCACAGCTTGCACAGGCCCCCTCTCCCTTCCAGCACAGCTCACACAACAGCTCGCTCCCAACGTCTCCGCTTAGGATGCCTTTGGACACTGAGGATGCAGGA